CGTAGCAGGAAGCGAGGGGTTTCGGGCACAAAAGCCATGAGCCCCAGCAGGAAGCAGGGAGGGATGGAGCACAGCACCGCCAGCCAACGCCACTCCAGCGCCATGCCTGTGGGAGGGAGGGAGGACAACTGGTCTTAAGGCCCCCCCCCCGAGGAAAAATATTGGACAAAAACAGGCTCATGGTTGGAAGAGATGATGCGACCACTTATTGTGATTTAAAACCAGAAATATTCCGGTTGGGGATCTTACCTGAAACTCAGAGCAAAGAAAATGTATATTTGATTATTCATATTATAACTGCAGCGAGAATCGTATTTGCTCAAAATTGAAAAAAGGAGCAGACTGCGGTGCTTTCTTTGGGTTTTCAGGATGAAAATTACATAACAGATGTCTTGTTATCCACTTTTTTTCTTCAATCTCGTTCCTTCTTTCCTTCCTTCTTCCCCTCCCTCTCCTTCCTTTCTTTTTCTTTCTTTCTTCCTTTTCTTTTTGTTTCCCTTCCTTCCTTCCTCCCCTCCCTTTCTCTTTCTTTCTTTCCTTCCTTCCTTTTCTCTTTCCTTCCTTCCCTTTTCTTTTTCCTTTTTCTTCCTTCTTACCTTTCTCCTTCCCTTCTTCCTTTCTTCCTCTTTCCCTCCTTCCTTCCTTCTATCCATCCATCCATCCTTCCTTCCTTCCTCTTTTTCCTTCCTTTCTCCTTCCTCACGGTTCCTTCCAGGGAAGATGGGACAAAACGCTTCCCACCCACCAAGATTTAACAACACATCTTAAGCCAGAACATGACCTGCCAGGTAAGCTCCCAGGATTCCAGTTACTACCATCAGCTGAACACACGAACCAAGGACTCCTCGGATCTTGGAATGAGACGTTTCGGATATATATATCTAAGAGATAAGCAAGAAAAATTAAATTAATGGAGAGGACCAGGCAGGTTGTGGAACCTTACTGTCGCCTTCATCTTCCAATTAAAACTGGTAGTTTGCTTATTTTTGCGTCTTGCCTTAATGAGAACAAAAATGAACTTCAAAGACAAGGATTGACTGACTTTAGCTCAACACGAGGTAGCTTAGGTTAATTCCCCAATTCCTATATCCAGGCAGGCGGATGCAGGAACGACTTCTGAACGCTCCTACCTTCTCAGCTGCTATTGCTGATTTAGCGGTAGGGGTTTTCTCTTATCCTCTGGGGCAGGGGTCAGCACCCTTAAACACTCCAAGAGCCATTTGGAGCCGTTTCCCACAGAAGCCAATAATTTAACAACTCGGTCACTCCCTCCCACCCACCCACCTCCTGCTCTGGAATAGGGAGCGAGTCTCCATCCCCCTTACCTTCTCAGGCCAGGTGGGGAGTGACGGGGAGGGCAGGGGCCAGCCAGGTGTGGTGGGATCAGCTGACAGGGAGCCGCAGCAGAAGGGCCGAAAGAGCCGCATGTGGCTCCAGAGCCGCAGATTGCTGACCCCTGCTCTGGGGAAATCACACAGGCAAAAGATGGACACAGGATGCCCCTTACCGGAACTACCAAGGATGTGACGCCACTGGCCAAGCCACACAGCAGCCTTCCCAGGTAAAGCATCCAGATGTTCTGGGCCGAGACAATGATCAAGAAACCGAAAACATACGGGACCGTGCAGAGCATAAGGCTAAGTTTCCGGCCAATTTTGTCCACCACGTATCCTCCGAGTGTCCCGCCAGCTGCGGCCCCCAGCGTGACCACAGACTGCCGAAAGACACAGATGACAAAAAATGAGAAAAGCAGGGAAATGAAACAGCAGGTTCCAGGGGGGCCCGATCGGCTCACAAGTCCTGGTGGCAACTCACCCCAAACCATGACGCTTGCGTATCATCCAGCCTCAGTTCTGGGTTGTGGCTTCGCTTCAAGCTAGGGATGGCCGGCGAGCTGTAGCCCAGCACAAAGCCAAAGCTGAGCGGTCCTAAGACGGCAGCGAAGGTGGCCAAGTAGAGATTGTGGTTTTGGACTTTGCTGTGAGAGAAACGAGGAGGAGACCAATTGGTGGTGAATATCGGGCTGGTTTGGGGCAAAAGGACTCTGATCTACTACCGGGGAACAGAAGCATTAAAAACATGTGGCTTGTTAAGTGTGGCGAGGACTTTGCCCACCGATGTTTCCCTGGCTTTCGTGGGTAAAAGGAGTTTAGGTTGCAGGAAAGGTGCATCTGTTTATGAGTTTGAAGAGCAGACAACTAACTGGATCCACAAGGAATTCCAGCGTTCCTAAGTCAACAGATACGGATAAGCTGTATGGCTTACACCAGGGGTCCGCAACGGCATTGGTGACAGGAAGGGCATCCGGCCAGTAAACGCTCATCTCCATTCAGTTGCCCAGATTCCACCCCGCAAGGGATTATGGGGTCGTAAAAGAAGACGATAGGATAGAGATTCTTCAAATTTATTATTTAGACATTTAATTGCCTTCCCCTCCATCTAGTTGCTGGTGGTGGTGGTGGGGGGGGGGAGACACACACACTGGTGTTCTTCACAATATTGTTATGTCTATTTACAACAATCAAGCTGGCCCATGTGGGCTTCAGCAGAAGTCAGAAACTGAGACAGTTAAGACACAGAGCTCACGAATGGCTCATTGATGGATTGACTGATTGACTGACTGATTGATTCATCCATCCCTCCATCCAATTTCTACTCTGGGCAGCTCATCCTTCAACTGATCTGGCCAGCCTCATTTCAGAAGCAGGAATACATACACACCTCAAATAAACCTCCAGCTGAGAGGGTCTTCCAGCAGCATTCAATTCCGTCTCTGGGTTAGCATCCAAAAGGGGTCTATATTCCTCAGAAGCCATTCTCTTTGGCTGTGCCCCAAAGAAGACGCTTAATGATAGGAAATTGTCCCTTAAGTCCCTTGAAATTATAAGGAGGGGGGGGGGCAAGAAAAAACAACACGAGAAGCAAATCATATGACTTCAAACCACTAGCTTCCTTAGTTATAAAACTGCAGACTCTTGATTTTAATTTTCCATCAGAAAAAGACACACCACTCTCCATTCTTTGCTTTGCTCAAAAAGGAGCTATTTGCAGTGGGCTTATTCCTGGAATACCCTTGAGGACAAGACCATATAATCATCTTTACAGCCAGTAATTCTCTTTCCTATCTCTTTCTTAGACTCAGTTTATTGTCACTTTGAATGTACACTTATCGGCATACACTAAAATGAAACTTCGTTGCATACAGCTTCTTGCTTAGACAGTGACTTCTATTTTCTCTATCTGATCAACCAGAAAAGCAAGAATGAGGAAAAGAGGAAATTATGGTATTGAGGACTGGATGACGGCAGTCTGAAGAAATCTCTCTCGAGAAAAGACCCCCAAATCCTCCCCCCAGAGCTTCACGATTCAGATCAACACACAGCAAGTTCATGTCTTGGCATGACACAAGCTCTCACAAATCACTAGTTTGACACCAGGTAATCTAGCCTTGTCCACTCGGACAGCGCCCCTCCCCTCCATCCAAGCAATGGGTTTCCTTTTGAACCCTCACACCAAACTGGTTCTCTGAATTGGCCCAAAACTGACTAGACCTTAATCAGTTTCACGCCTAAGACTTTTGCCCACCCAATCAGTTCCAGCACAAACCCGTGATTGAAAAAACCCACTTTTTCTGATGTTTGGGGGGGGGGGAAGCAATCTTGTCTATATGTAAGCTGAAATAATTTTGGGTGGGTGGAGGGGCAGCTTTTCTCTGTTGTTTATTTATTTATTTATTTGATTTGTCAATCGCTTACAAGATAATAGGTATAAGTATATACATAGTTATGAATACATGAAATGGGTACATATAAGAAAAATAAAACAAACAATAGGACAGGGACGGTAGGCACGTTGGTGCGCTTATGCACGCCCCCTACAGACCTCTTAGGAAGGGAGTGAGGTCAGTAGTAGACAGTCTAAGGTTAAAGTTTTTGGGGTTTGGGGAAGAAACCACAGAGTCAGGTAGAGTATTCCAGACATTGATCACTCTGTGGTATTTCCTGCAATCAAGTTTGGTGCGGTTAACCTTGAGTTTGTATCTATTGCTCTTGTGTTGTTGTGGTTGAATCTGAAGTATTCATTGACAGGTAGGACTTGCAATGTATGATTTTATATACCATACTTAGATCAGACCGAAGGCGGCATAATTCAAGGTTTTCTAGGTCTAGAATTTCAAGTCTGGTGGCATAATTTCTGACATGGATGCCAAGAGGTTGGCATCCTGCGGTCTCTGCCTTTCTGCTCAGAGAGCTTCATGGAAGGTGGGCTATGTAGGGGGGGGAAATGCATTAATCTTGGAAAGCTGGCATTGATCTCCTCCGTTTCCCCTGTTTACTCCCCTTCTGGGGATCAGCTGCCACCCGCGATGCGTCCAAGAGGGAGGGAATGCTCGGGCATTGTAAACACAGGCAGCGGCTGGCTTTTCCCATTGCAACACCCTTCCGCCCTCCAGCTCTGCCAGGCCCCTGAATTCCCAGGTTGGGAAGAGAACTGAGATGCGAATCTTTGCAGAGGGCGCCAGGTTGGGGAGGGATCTGGGCAAAGCGACCATTCCACCCTTCGGCACACCCTTCCAAAGGGACAGTATTGGGAATCCAGAGCATGCAAGACATGCAAAAAAGGGGGACTGTCCCGGAGCCCCCCACTCACCTTTTCCTCCCCCTTCTCCTTTTTTAATTCCAGCCCCCAAGAGCGGCGCTTCCCCGCCGAGCCCAAATCTAACAAGGGCCAATACGTTTGCAGCGGGTTTGCAAGGTGGAACCAAAGACAACGCCCCCCGGCTCCGCTTTCCGGGCGGGGCCACACAAGGCGTAGGACCGGAAGTGCATCGGCGTTAAAAAAGAGAAGAGGCATCTGGTCTTGCTTCTCTTTAGGCCTTTCTAGGAAAAGAAACGGGAAGGGCGCTCTACTCTCTCCATCTCTTCCTCTTCTTTCTGGAGACGCGGGTGGCGTGCGGGGATGACGTCAGTGCCTCAGCGCCGGAAGCTCCCCGGCCAGGACCTCCGCTGGGATCCGGTGGCGGCAGGTACGACCCCCCGAATGAGGCGGCGGGTGGGAAGGAGGGAGGGAGGGACCCGAGGTGGGGGGGGGGGAAGCCTGGGGTAGGGGACCGGGAGAGGGGCACGGGTTGTTATGGAGACCGCCTGCAGCCAGGGGGGCGGGGCCAGCAGGGTGGGAAGGAGGGAGGGGCGGGGAGAGGTTCTCGGGGGGTTGGTGGGGCGGCCACGGAGGCCGCTGGGGGGCAAAGGGGGGGCTGCTATTGCTTGCCCCTCCTTCTCCGTCCAGGGATGAGCCCCAGCCTGGCCTTGGCGAGAAAAAAAGGGGCGTGGGGGCGTCAGAGGTGGGGGGGTCGGGCTTGAGGTCAGAAATCCCTTTTAAATCCCCCTCCCCCCCACAGAAAAGGTCAGAATACAGAATAAAGAGGGTCGGGAGGGACCTTGGAGGTCATCTAGTCCAACACCCCCCCCGGGGTTCAAGCAGGGGGACCCTGCCCCAATCCAGACAAAGGGCGGCTGCCCGAATGGATTTGAATGGCATGAGAATTGCAGTTTCAAGAGAAGGGGCGAAATAGAGCAAGGCGGTCAGGATGTCTGGTTGGGGGATATCCAGTACCCTGGAATATAGAAGGATAGGCTTGGAAGAGGGGACCTCGGAGGTCTTCTAGTCCAACCCCTTGCTCAAGCGGGGGGCGGGGGGAGGAACGGAACGACCCTCTGCTGTTCCAGACGAGCGGCTGCCTGAACGGAGTGGAAGCACAACTGAACAGAGAAAGGGAAAACGAAGTGCGGGCGGTCCTTGACTTACAGCAGTTCATTTAGGGGACCGTCCAAAGTTGCAACGTCGCTGGAAAAAAAAAAGCGACTTTAGGACCCTTTTTCACGCTCACGGCCATTGCAGCACACACCCATCCCGGTCACGTGACTTGCATTCAGGTGCTTGAGCCCTGACTCACATTTATGCCGGTCGCAGCGTCACGGGTCCACTTTTTGCGACCTTCTGACAAAGTCATAAAATGGGGCAAAACTCCCTGAACAAATGTCTTGCTTGAGCAACAACACAAGGGCTCGGTTGGGGTCGAGGGCTACCTGTAACGTGGTCTCTGAAACAACAGCAGGGCGTATGATAGGCATTTGTCAATACCATTGAATATAGAACCATAGGCTTGGAAGGGTCCAGCCCCTTGCTCAAGCAGGGGACCCTATACCATTCCAGGCAAATGGCTGTCCAATCTCTTATAAGGCTCCATATAAACATAATCCAGCAAAAATATAACTCTAAAAGAGACGCTTTAGGTCACACACAGAATAAGTGTGTTGGAAGGGACCTTGGAGACCCCATACCGTGTCAGACAAATGGCTGTCCAGGCTCTTCTTCACAACCTCCCGTGATGGGGCACCCACAACTTCTGGAGGCAGCCGGTGAGGGGGGCTCCTGCCTGTCAGAGGGGATAGGGCGAGGAGAAGGCATCTCTGGTTTATCATCTAGACAGGAAACCAAACCACCAAGGTCAGCACTTCCTTTATTGTAAGGGGGCAGTAACAGCATCTCGCCAAGCATTTCTGAAACCACTTCTCCCTCCCTCCCTCCCTCCCTCCCTTTCGCTCTCCAGAAAACCAGGGAGGGGCCCTTCTGTGTCACTTTCCATGCCCCACCAATTCCTTCTCCGGCTGAATGTTGGCTTGTTTTTGCGGCTCTTCCTCCCAGAGTCTCCAGAGTTTCCTCGCAGCCTATTCCAGCTTTCGAAGAACGCTGGAGTCATGTCTGAACTAGTTCCAGGTAGTCTCTTCCCAGAGAATAAGAGGGGTCTGAAGTGCAGAGCTTGTGGGAAGCAATTGCCCCCACGCTGTGGCTGCAAGTGTTCAATCTTTTGTGGGCAGAAGTGTGCAGGGAATGTAGATAGATTATGGAGGAATATTTGAGATTTTTGTGTTGTAATAGTTGTGTAGAACAAGTTCCTGGAGACAGTTGGCTGCAATCCAGAGCCAGCTTTGTGCTGCATAATGGCCCACGAAACTCAGACCTTTTATGTCATTCCCCTTGTTATGGGCGTTGTTCATTATTACTATTATTTAATTCATATTCATGTTTCCTGTCAGTTTGTTAATCCTTGACAGTTTTCTCCACCCTGCATTAAAATCTCTATAAGTGTTTTATATAATGAAGCAAAGCAAAAACAAAACAAAAGAGACAGCAGGTCGTTTCCATGAGGTGACTTCAGCTTTTTAGCATGAGTGATCAGGTAAAAGGAAGAAAAAAGAAGGGAAGGGAAGGATGAAAGGGTAACGGGAGGGGGAAGGGAGGAAGGGAAGGATGAAAGAGGAAGGGAAGGGGGAAGAATGAAAAGGGAGGAAGAGAAGGAAGAAAGGAAGGATCATTTTAACCATTCTATTTCTTCCCACACACACTTTTTTACCCAAAAGTTTGGCCCCATTTTTTTTTTAAATCTCATTTCTTAATCCTAACTGAAACAACTCAACTCTTGAAAAGTTAATGGAAAATAAAACGAGCTATTTAAGGTCCTATTTCATTTAGGCAAGTTTTGGATCTGCGTTAGCAACCATGGCTTTTAGAGAAAGACTGGGCCTGTACGATATATTTAATTTAGCCATAAATTAGAGACCTTCGGAGGTGGGGTCTTTGGTGCTCTCTGGACTTGGTTGTGAATTTCATGACCCAACTAGGTAACATCATCAGGGCCTTCCCATATCTTGGGTTGCATCCTGATGTTTTCCAGGCAGCCAGAGACGGGTCATTGTAGAGCGACTTTATCTGGAGGACTAGTAGATTCCCTGGGCCAGGCGTGCCTTAGGAGAGCTTGGTGGACCTCTGAGGAGGCTAGGATGGCCTTGGTTACTGTTATTTGTTATTTGAACAGGAGAAATGGCCACAGAGGAAGGTCAACCCCTACTGGGTTCCAAGGAGGAGAAGGAGAATTGGCAGCAACCCACTGAGCACCATCCTATCACAGACAACTATCTAAGGTAGATGCAACCTCTTTGCTAAGCAGCTCAAAGGCTAGGAATAGAAACTGGGAGCAGAGAAGGCACGAGGAGGGTTTCCATTCACCGGTCCTCTTTCCCTTGGAGCAGCTGGAGCATCGGATCGCCAAACGAGCCGTTCCTTTTCGGACTTGTGCCCTTCCCTCGTTTAAGTCGGGGGGTCCTTGACATACGATTGCTGTTGACCCCCAATTTTCTGTTGCTAAGTGGGACGGTTTTTCCAGTGAGTTTTGCCCCCTGTATAAAATTCAATGGTTTTTTTTTTACGACCTTCCTTGCCACAGATGTTAAGGGATGCCCTGCAGGGGTTTAAGTTAGCGACACGGTCGTTGAGCGAATCTGGCTCCCCCCCTCGATTTGGCCTGTCGGAAGGCCGCCAAAGGGAATCACGTGACCCCAGGGACACCGCAATTAAATGCGAACCAGTTGCCAAGTGTCCGATCACGTGACCCCAGGGAGGCTGCCATGGTTTTGCATGCAGGGGGTGGGATTCAGCCGGTTTGGACCGGTTCACACGAACCGGGTGTTAAATTTACATTTGGTTCACCAAACCGGTAGTTGAACCGACCAGCTGGCCCTCCCCTCCCAGGAGTCTCCACGCGGCCCACGTTGGATGCAGGTAAGTACAGGGTCCCTGCGGAGGCTCTGGGAGGGCTGTTTCCGGCTTCCAGAGGGCCTCCGGTTTCCGGGGGAGGCCATTTTCACCCTTCGAGAGGCCCGGAGGAAGGCAAAAAGTGGCCCTCCCAGAAGTTCCGGTAGGCCACGCCCACCCAGCAACCAGGCAGCGAACCAGTTGCTGGGAGTTTTGAATCCCATCCTTGTTTGCATGCGAAAAAGGGTCCTAAGTCCCTATTTTCCGGGGCCGTTGTAAGTTTGAATGAACGGTTGTAAGTCAAGGACTCGGAGCACCGCGCAGGCTTTGGGGCGTGGGTGTGTTTAAGGTCTTTGTAGCAACCTTTGCCTTGGGCTTTGGAGTCGAACTAATCCCCTTGTTTTTGATGTCCCGCAGGTAAATGTTTCCATTGCCTTATGGAGAGAAAGGAGTTTGAAGCATGGCTTGATAACCTTTCTGTCACGTTTCTCTCTCTGGTGGACTTGCAGAAAAATGAGGCGCTGGACCACCTGATCGCCCTGAGTGGGGCCGCCCAGCTCAAGCACCTCTCCAACAACCTCGAGGCGCTTCTCAAGCGGGACTTCCTCAAACTGCTCCCGCTGGAGCTGAGCTTCTATTTGCTCAAATGGCTCGACCCTCAGACCTTACTCACCTGCTGCCTCGTCTCTAAGCAATGGAACAAGGTCATCAGTGCCTGCCTGGAGGTGTGGCAGGTGGCCTGTCGGAACCTGGGTTGGCAGATCGATGACTCTGTTCAGGAGGCCCTGCACTGGAAAAAGGTCTACCTGAAGGCCAACCTGAGGATGAAGCAGCTGGAGAGCCACGAGGCCTTTGAAACCTCCTCCTTGATTGGGCACAGTGCCAGGGTGTACGCACTTTACTATAAAGATGGACTCCTTTGTACAGGTAGGGAAGTCCGCCCAGGTCCAGAAACTAAGTGAGTGGCGTGCGAGATTTGGAGGTGCTCTTTAGTCGAAGCCTACGGGTTGTAATGTGGAATCGAACCCAGGACGCCCCCAAACCTGGTGCTTCCTGCATCGAAAGGATTCTGTTCTGACCCAGCTCCCCAAACACGACAAACCCTCTGTAGCTGAAGCAGTGATTCCTTTCTTAGGAGCCCCAGCGAAACGTTTCTCTTTCACCACAAGTCCAACTGGCAGGGGAGATGAATTGTCTCCACCCGCTGCCTTTTATCCCCAGAGCTAGGGTGGGGCTTCTCTAGCAGCGGTGGCTCTTCCGTCCCAAGGACCGGCCCGTAGATTTCCACTGCTCTCCTCTCCTCTGCCTTCTGTGCATCCACGCGTGAGGCACTGGACCCAGCTGTTCCTCCTCTTCCTCATCAGCCACTTCCAGACCTGGGGGCTGTTGACTCTCCATCTGAGGGCTGACGGACGGCCCAGCCTCGGCCTCCCTCTCTCTCTCTCTCTCTCTGACAGCTCCGTTCCCTCTTCCCCCTCAGAGCTCCCAGGTTGCTGACCCTGACTCCCATGCCTCCTCCTCCTCCTCCTCCTCTGATTCAGCTGCTGGAGGGGCTGGCAGCCAGCAGGCCACAACATAACCTTTCTTTTCTTCCCATGGGGCTGTAGGTTCAGACGACTTGTCGGCCAAGCTGTGGGATGTGAGCACGGGGCAGTGCGTCTACGGCATCCAGACCCACACGTGTGCAGCGGTCAAGTTTGATGAGCAGAAGCTGGTCACCGGCTCGTTCGATAACACAGTAGCCTGCTGGGAATGGAGCTCGGGAGCCAAGACCCAGCATTTCCGAGGCCACACCGGGGCAGGTACGTCGGGGTTTTGGGGAGAGTGTCACGTCAGTTACGCAATTGTTTATGTAGTCTTGTCACTTGGAGCGGCTTCCTTGGTTTAGCCATCATTCCGCCACCCATCTTGCAGGCTGCTTAGGACAAAAAATGCCAGTAGAGGAAAGTAGTTCTAGCTCAGAATTGAAGTGATGGGTCCTTGGTGCTCTCTGAGCTTGGTGGTTTTCTTGCAGACGTCTCATGACCAAACTAGGTAGCATCATCAGTGCTAGAAGGGAGTGAGGTAGGTGGAATGAACGAGGAGAAAGAGGAGCGCAGGGGGTCCTTAGTGCTCTCTGAGCTTGGTGGTTTTCTTGCAGACGTCTCATGACCAAACTAGGTAGCATCATCAGTATGAGTCATCAACACTAACACTGCCAGCACTGATGATGTGACCACGTTTGGTCATGAACCGCCTGCAAGAAAACAACCCAGCTCACCGAGCGCCAAGCACCTCCCATGCCAGTGTGTCCCTTGGCACTCTGACCCCCTTCAAAATACTCTTCAGATTCTACCTCTTGGAGAATCTTTGGCACAGTCCGTTCTCACCCATGGCTGCGAAATCGAACGAAGGCCTTTTTTGTCCTCTAGTTTTCAGCGTGGATTACAACGACGAGCTGGATATCCTGGTGAGCGGCTCAGCGGATTTCACGGTGAAAGTCTGGGCCTTATCGACCAGCGTCTGCCTCAACACGCTGACCGGGCACACGGAGTGGGTCACAAAGGTGAATAGCCTTTCTCCTTCCCCCAAGACTCCCTCTTGCATGGAATAGAATAGAATGTAGAATATAGAATAGAATAGAATTAGAGTAGAACGCAGAATAGAATAGAATATTGGAATATAGAATAGAATAGAATGCTGAATAGCCTAGCATAACATAGAATAGAATTCTTTATTGGCTAAGCGTGGTTAGATGCACAAGGAATTCATCTTCGGTGCATAAACTCTCAGTGTACATAAAAGCTATAGGTGATAAATCATCATAGTCACTTAACAACAGAAATGTTGGGCACAGTTGTGGTCACCAGCTGAGGACTAGCCAGAATAGCACCTGCTGTTTTCCTGTCACTGGAGGATGGAAGGATTTACTTTCCTGATGACTGTATTCCACCGTTCACTCAGAGCTGAAGAAGCTTCTTGGGTGAGAAGTGAAACCTTCTCAAAGAGAAACCAAAGCCAAGTTGCCTCTTGAAAAAGCCCGTTTGGGTGTCCCTGTGCCTGGTTGTTTTGGCCTGTAATGCCCATGGGCAGGAGCTGAAACAGTTTTTATGTCAAGGGTGTGATATTCTCTCAGCCCTCCTTCAGACCCACAGAACCAACAGGTCTTCCACGCGGCAGCCTTACTCCTCCTTGTTTGCAGAGGGCATCAAATCTGACTCTGTGAATCAGGCTCAGGAAATACAATCTGAGTGCACCGGAACAAATCTTGAATGTGTTAAGTTGGCTTGTCTCGTGTAGCTGCCAGCATCCTTACCGAAGCCACTTTTTGTTCTAATGGCAGGTGGTCTTACAAGAGAGCAAAGTCAAATCCCTCATGCACAGCCCTGGCGACTACATCCTCTTAAGCGCGGATAAATACGAAATCAAGGTACGTCCCGCTTTTGATTTACCAGGCTCCGGAATTGGGGGGAGGAGTGGGTCGGTGTTTGAGGACTATATGAACACGGGTCGTTCTCCACTTAACGACCACAATGGAGCCCAACACTTCCATTGCTAAGCGAGACAGACGTTAAGTGAGTCTCGCCCCGTTTTACGACCTTTCTGGCCACGGTCGTTCAGTGAATCACTGCCGTCGTTAAGTCAGTGGCACGGCTGTTAGGCGAACTGGGCTCCCCTATTGACTCTGCTTGTGAGAAGGTCGCAAAAGGGGATCGCAGGACCCTGGGACACATCGTTCCATAGCGAAGCACGGGCATTGAGCTAGTGTGAGATATTTTGCAGTGTAGAAAAGAAAAGGGGACATTTGGGAGAGGAACGGTTCTTTCAGGGTAGGTTTTGAGGTGATGTGCTCATGCTAGGCTGTGGGCTTTTCTGAAAAGTTAGTGGCTAAAAGAAAGTGAGACATGGCAGAAGGCTGCGTTGCCACAATTCCCTGGTTTTCTAATTTCCCCTTTGTTGTTGCTGCAGATCTGGCCCATTGGAAGAGAGATCAACTGCAGATGTTTGAAAACCTTGACAGTTTCTGAAGACCGGAGCATCTCTTTGCAGCCTCGGCTACACTTCGATGGGAAATACATTGTGTGCAGCTCGGCCATCGGGCTGTACCAGTGGGACTTCGCCAGCTACGATATCCTCAGGTAGCCATTCCGAGTTTAAAATGGGACGGTGGGAAGGGGACCTCGTTGCCCGCTGCTTCTTTTATACCCAGAATGCGCGGGGGAGGCCTTGCAACGAGCTGAGCTGAGCTATTTTCTTGGTGGATCGGTAGTTGTTGAATATCACATTGGCAAATCTTCCCTGGAGGCCCTAAGATGCTTCTGGTACTTGCTGTATCCTGTCCGGACTGTCTGGTGCTCTGTGAGCTTGGTGGTTTTCTTGCAGACGTTTCCTTACCCAACTAGGTAACATCATCAGGGCTAGAAGGCAGTTGGGTTTGTGGAGTGGAGGAGGAGGATTGTGGAGTCCTTGATGCTCTCTGGGCTTAGTAATTTTCTTGCAGACATTTCATTACCAAACTAGGTAACATTATCAGTGCTAGGAGGGAGTGGGGTCTGTTCTTTTTATATATTATTGGCTTTCCCTGTCAGTGTTGGTAGATGTATTCTTTTTGGTCCTAATCCTGTTGTATTGCCCACTCTGAAGGTTTCATGGACTCATGTGTGATTAAATGTCTGGTCTCTTTTATGTACAATTACTATTGTCAGATCGGTATGGTCCCGTTTCTCTGAATGTAGCTGTTTTGTGACACTGTCTGTAAAATTAGGCAGACCTTGGTCATGATTTTACCATCAATTGTAATGTATTACATGCCCTGTAATGTTCGGTTCTGTTTTATTGTATTTGCTGTGTTAATGTTTTGTGCTGGTTTTGTGCTGGCCTCTGACTGAAATAGATTGAATGATTGATTGATTGATTGATTGAGTGTTCTTGGTGGTTCCTTGATTAGGCTGTTGTTTACTGGCTAGCATATTTGCATTGGTAAGTCCTGGATTAGTATTAAACTGGGTGTTAATCTCTGCTTGTTTGGGTGTTGGCTGCTGGTGAGAAAGTGTTTATGCTCTTTTCTTCTGTTTTTTTTTTCTCCCCCTTCCTGCAGGGTTATCAAACCACCTGAATTTGCAAACCTGTCCTTGCTGGGCTTCGGTGACATTTTCGCCCTCCTGTTTGATAATCACTACCTGTACATCATGGACCTGAGGACAGAAAAATTGATCAGCCGTTGGCCACTGCCAGAATACCGGAAGTCGAAGAGAGGTTCGAGCTTCTTGGCGGGAGAAATGTCTTGGCTGGATGGCTTGGACGGTCAAAACGATATGGGCTTGGTGTTTGCCACAAGCATGCCTGACCACAGCATCCACCTGGTCTTGTGGAAGGAACATGGCTGAACTCAGCCAACGGACTCGGGGGTGTGGCTTTATATATATATATATATAAATATATATAAATATATATAATAAAAAATAAAAATAAAAAGAGAACAGAGACTGCCTGCAACGAATCCAAAGGACAATGCTTTGCATGAACCAAAGTTAAGACGAGGTTTCATCCTGCAACGCAAAATCTTTTTTTTTTAACCATTTTTTTCCCAATGCTATTTTGGAGAGGAGAGAGAAGCCTATTCAATTTCTTTCTTTTTCTCAGAGTGAAGGTATCCCAGCATCTTGACAGGTTCCAACATTGGAGATCTCTCTCACTCTCTCTCTGTGTCTCTGTGTGTGGGGGTGTCTTTCTCTCTCTCTCTCTCTCTTTCTCTCTCATACACACATATATTTGTGTTCAAATATATCCATTTGAGTATATTTGGTTTTGGGGTTTCTTAGGGGTTGGCAGGGAAAAAAACCCAATGCATTTGAAATTTGAAATGCATTTCTTTCTCCCCCCCCTTCCTGTTTGGAGAAAAAAAAAGGTTAATCGAATTTACTTGTTTTTTTTTTTTTTTAATTAAAAAAAAACGGCTCTGATTCACTGCCATTATGTAAGATTTGGATACCGCTGGGCCTTGACACGCAACCACCACCGAGCCCCAAATCTCCATTGTTAAGCAAGACCGTTGTTGAGCGAATTTTGCCTGCTTTTACCACCTTGAGTTGTTCAGTGAAATCGCTGCGCTTGTTAAGTTTGTCACGTGGTTGTTAAGCCAATCCCCTTTGACTTTGCTTGTCCGAAGGTCGTAAAATGGGGATCGCGTGATTCTGGGATGTTGCAACCTTCCTAAATATGAGTCGTTTGCCAAGTGGCCAAATTTTGATCTTATGATCCTGGTCATAAAAGTGGGGGGGGGGGGGGGGGGGAAACGGTCATAGATCACTTTTTTCTCGGTGCTGTTTTAACTTGGAACGGTCACAGGACGAACTGTTGCAAGCCAAGGACTGCCTGCCCGGCTAAAAGAAATGCTGAGTAATTTCTCTCCAATTCACCCAGTTTCAGAAATTTAATGAGCCACGGTGGTTGGCCTGGGAGAACCTTTCGGCTTTGTACCCTTCCCTGCATAGGAGAATTGAAAGCAGGCCATCCTGCGGGAGAGTTAGAAAATAAGATTTCTTCCCCCCCCTCTGCTGAAGAGGTGATTGGTCAGACCAAGCCAGCTCTTTTGGACTCCAGCATTTTGGGGACAGTGACAGAGAAACAGCAGGTGCTATAGTAGGGCTAGTCCTTGGCTTACGACCACAACTGGGCACAACGTTTCCATGGTTAAGTAAGCCATTTGTTGAGTGAGTTTTCCCCCATTTTACAACTTTTCTTTGGCACGGCTGTTAAGGGAATTGCCGTGGTAAGTTGGCAACACGGTTGTTAAGGAAACGATGGGAACTTACTGATCTAACTATGCGGTCAGTTTAGTTTTTGAGAGGAAAATGGAGATGGGGGATTTGTGCCTCTGCCTACCAGCATCCATCGGTATTCCTCTGGCTAGCGTCCTGTCAGTGTGTGAGAGTTGAGGGCTGTTTGGAAACTGCTGTATGAGCCAGGAGACAGCAAGGAACCTGGACGTGGCTTAGCTCAGCTGTTCTGTACTAAAAGCTGCTTGGTGCTGTGAAACTGAAACTCCTCTGTGTTTTGCATTTGGAAGAGATTTATTTTCAGGTGGGGAGGGGGAGTAGAACTCCTTAGCACCAGAGCGTGTGAATAATAATATAGGAAATTCTAATGCCCTGATGGTCATTTTGAAAAATCCTTTCTTAGCGAGCATCTAGAAGCCAAAAGGAACATAGGTGCCAAATTTCAAGTTTGTAGGCTTTACGATACTGAAGATTTTATGATGATGTGTGGGCGGTATTTCATGTGTGTGTGTGTAAGTTCACATCGTCACAAGCATGAAAAACAGGCAATATATTACGAGAATCAACAGCCTAAGGTTTGGTTAGTTTTTTCTGGGGGTTTTTGGTACCGTGCCCAGCTCTACCTTTGGGTTTCCATGAAAACCAAAATACACATTCATTAAGGTTAATGATGGGTAAATGCCTTTGTGTTAATGTGACTCAATCCACCAACACCTTTTTTTTGTCTTTAGGGAGTTGCTCGCAAGCGTTCTCATGTTACACAAACAATGGCCAATGTCAAAAGAAAAAGAGTCAAACCAGAGTCAAGATGAGGCCAATCCAGCATGACTTTTGAGGTGCAAAACTTGGCTGAAAAGGCAACTACAGCTAGTCCTTGACTTACACCAGGTTTATATGAGGCATGGAAGCCATTATTTTTTTCTCCTCCTGCTAGGATAATGGAGAGGCCACCAATCTTAAGCTGTAATTGATTACAGTTACTGTAATTAATCAGTTACCACTGATTGATCCTGCAACTTGGGAAGCCATCAGCCTTGGGGTTGTGAGCATGATTTCTCTTGTTGCGTTCCGCCATTCAGTCAAACCCAAATGTCCTTTCTGAAAAGGTAGAAAGCAAGGAAAGGAGGCGGTATGAATAATTCAGGACTGTGAGTGACTTCTTGGAATCTGTTCAGCTCTTAAATGTTTTAATTTTTGGAGTCCTTTTTCCGTAATGCAATCGTTTCAGACTCTTGTTGCCACTCCTGGCTGATTCACTGCAAGCAACTCTTTCCGTGAAGTCTCTTTCAATGCTTGGCTTTTCCAAGTGGTGTGAAAAGACAATTGTTTACAAGAAGACCTGGGGACGGTTCTTAGCTGGTTCAACAGTTTTGAGGTTTCTTATTTTTACAACAAACCATATCTTGGAAGGACCCAGGAAATGTATAGTTAAATGAGAACCCGTTAAACCAAGTTTGAGGACGCTGCCAAGGACGAAGGATTTATGGCAAGATGGAAACCTTCCTCAATGCCATCGTAAGTGAAAATGAGCGTACGTGTTGCAAGCATGAACATGGAACTTTCTGCCTTGGGAGAAAGTATCTAGCAAAGATCTCAACTTATAGGTTCTATGCAGATCAAATCTAGCACTATACATGAGTTTGAAACACAACCGAAGAAAATGCTTGAGAACTGGTGGCGTTCTTATTCAAGTACACTTAAGGCCTTTATAATCCTTCCATCATGATTTGAATGGTGATCATCCACCTGTAAAATAAGCATGGATTTCTTGCACCACAGACATGAAAATTTGGGCAAGATTTCCATTGCCCAGGGCAATTATTCCTCCCTCAATTTCTTTTGCATACCTAAGCTTCAGTAACAACATTGAGTAATCACCATATGGTTAAAAAAACATACAAAATTTATTCTTTGTTCACATGGAGATGGATTGCCCTGGTTCCTATTTTTTTTCTCGGCTTCCCTGAAATGTTCCTGCTACAAAGACAGTCCCCACCCCCAGCCTTTGCAGCAGGAAAAAGAAACTTCATAGCTTGAAAAAAAGGCATCTTGACATCAGAGTAATAATAATTTGTACTTGATAAGTTCTGCTGAAAACACAAGGGATGATCCACATAATTTTTGATTGTCCAAACTGAAGCTATTTCTGTGAAAAACAGGATACTGGAAGAACAAGTTATACAAACCTTACTTATTCAAATTTGATATCAGACTCATCCCACTCTAAAATAACTAAATTTTCTTGACAATCCCATTCTTCACAGAGGAAGAAATAACCACAATTTTGTTACAGGCATGATGCCTAAGGATGCTTTCAATTAAAAATCTTGGTGGGTTTTCTTTTTATTTTTTTGTCCCAAAGGTGCTTTTTCAAAAGGCACCGGTCTTTGTTTTTCCTTGAAGATGTTTCACTTCTTACCCAAAAGCTTTTTTCAGCTCAGAAGAAGCTTCTTGGATGAGAAATGTCTTCAAGGAAAAACAAACAGTTGCCTTTTGAAAAAGCATATTTGGGACGGCCATGACTTAGATGACAAAGAATCTTGATAGACATTTTTTTTGTTTTGTTTTCTTTTTATTCTGGGATACTGCCTTAAGTGACTAAACTGAATTTTAAGCAACGTAAATTTAGCTCAATAAATGCATTTCATAGTATAAACTATGACACACGTATAACAATAGTACATAGTTATGGAGGAAGTTAACAACCAGTTCAATTTATCAAAATGCTCTTGGTGTGCTTTCCTGACAAAACACAAATGACAGTTAATCTGAGTTAATCCTCTTTTTATTAAACAGCAGATAAAGCAGGTCAGTTTTCTGCAAAACCAGGCTATAAAGAACGAATTGTAGTTTTAATCCCCCTGATTTCCTCTAAAGGGGTGAAGGACACACACAGGCCATGTGAAGAAAAACACTTCCTTGTCGGGCGATTTTGTTCAAGTGAAAAACCAAACTTTTTAAAAGATTTTGGCAAGGCTTCTCAAGAACATGCTCCAAATGGAGATGTTATCGACCTGATTGCCGAGAACATGATCAAAAACCTTATTCACGTTGCTAATCAGCGATAGGTTGAACCTCCAAATGGTTGTGTCCCTCATGAGATACTGTTCCCCAAATTCACTTTCGAGGTGTTTCCTACAGTTGTAAAGAATTGCAACGTCCCTGGATACTTCAAGCGTTCGGCCGTATCCTTTGAGGACGGAATGGCTGGATGCCTGAACCACACTCCTCGGGTTTACAATCATTTTCTTCAAAATATTGATGTGCAGTTTATTGGGCTCGCGATAAACATGCCGCAATATGTTAACTCCCGGGATGGTTTTCCAGAGACTGCTGTTGAATTTATCCAAAGACGAAAATACATTCTGAGAGAAAAAGTGACTCTCAAAAAAGAAGATGCCAACTCCTGGATTTTGATCCTCAAGGCTATCAATCATCGTTTTCCAGTTTGGGTGTTTTAAGGGAAGGATAATTTCATTGAAATCATTAAAAACCACGTATTTGCTTCGGTACATATTGCGGTAAATGCAGTCGTTTAGAACGGTGGTTTTCCCGTAGCCCCAGTCCTGGTAAGAATACCAAAAAGAAGACAAGTGCACATAGGAAGTAATTGGCCAAGGGATGACCTCCACAGTGCCTTCTTCAACATAAAAATGTAAGATTTGGTCCATGAGCGAGCTGCAGTTCATTTTGTAAAGGTACACTTTCTTGGCCCCGAGGGTTTTATACATTTCCACGCTCTGCACGAACTGTAAGGCGTTGTCGTAATTCTCAGGCATGACTGACAGACAGACGGTGTATTCCATCACAAAAGAAGTCCTGGCGACCCGGTTATTGATTTCAAACCAGGGCAGCTCAGCCATGGATCCTTTGGTAGATGGATGAATGGACATGTACTGTGGCAAGCAGCGATGTGGTTCCAGACACACAATATCTGCCCCGCCAACCGGGAGACCAAATCTCTCCGGATGAATGTCTACGCTGGCCCGAATGATAGCAATGCGGTTGTTATGACTGCAACAAAACCAGCAGTAAAGGTCCTGGATTTTTTTGTAATGTACCATTGCAATTGCCCGGGTGAGGTTTTGTTGCCGGTTATCGTGATACAACGAAACGACAAAGGTTTTGTTGTGTTTTAAGGCGGTGATGGTACCGTTGACCAACTCACCTCTGCAAGGGCCCAAGGTTAGCTGGGTTTGTCGGGCTGGGTGCAACGGCAGCCTTCTGGGGTACATTTCAAAGAAGAGAAGAATTAGGAAAGGGATAGGCATCCAAATCATCTTGCTCTTAAAGCGAGGCATCTTATTCCTTTGATGTTGCTACAAAATATATATAGATATATATACATATAGGATAAATGAGAGGTGTTAGTAAAATTACATTGTTCCTCCTTAAAAAAATGACACCCCCCCCTTAAAAACAAAGAATTTTCACAAGGAATCTTTCGAACTCTCTAAAATACAATGTAAACTGAACAGTGAGCTTGTAAATTTATACAGGTGTGTCTGTTTCAACTTGAGCGCTTCCTGAAAACAGCCGCCTCTTGCTTTCTTTGAAAAGCATTTTAACAAAAGCCCAGCTGCCACATCCAGGATCACCTGTTCCACCTGGTGACTGAATAACTCGATTTTATTAGGCCTTAACAAGACCTACTTTGAGCACCATAGATGGAACCTACCAATAAAGGGGAATATTTGCAGATCGGGGTTGAAACAACATTATCAGTGTTAGGAACCAGTGGGTCCACCAGTACTGATGATGTTAGCTAGTTGGGTAATGAAACGTCGGCAAGAAAACCACCAAGCTCAGGGACCCTTCAGATTGAATCTAAGCACACCTGCTATGCATGCTTAATGTGCAAAATTACACCCCCAGATGAACATTAACTATATCTTATTTATATATCTGTTATCTATATATTTCTTTGTATATTTATATATCATCTACCTTTATGTTTATATCATCTATATTAATATCTACATATCTGTAAATTACAACTAATCTATCAATATCTGTATCCATATCTATACCTATCTTAATATCTATATTTTCTATTAATCTTTCTATCAACAACTTTATTTCTCAATCTATATCAATCATCTGTATATATTATTGATATCTATTATACATCATTTATATTGCTTATCTCTATATATCAACATCTATATAACTATATCAATTTCAGCTACATTTATATAATCTAAATATCAATTATCATCACCTTTCTCTAATTCTCATCTACATATATTTCCATCAATTGTAGATATTATATCTGCCAATGTCAATATCAGCTATATTAACAATATTTCTAGCAAAATCTCTGTCTCCATCTATCATCTATTTTTTATCTATATATTTATCTATCAATATGTTACCTGTACATATTATATCTATATCTCTCAATATCAATACCAACTATATTTCTATCCATATCAGCTATATTTATTATCAATATCTCTAACAAACTATCATCTACTTCTTGATCTATATATTCTATATTTCCATATATTTCTATCTGTATTGATTATATATATATATATATATATATTATAGTAATATATATGTGTGTGTGTATATATATATATTACATACACACACATATGTATGTATATGTATATGTGTGTGTGTGTGTGTGTGTGTGTGTGTATATATATATATATATATATATATATATATATATATATATATATCCAACCCAATATCAACTGTATATCTAAATTTATACACACACACATACATATACACACAAACACCCTATTTCTCAATTTGCCCCATTAAATATTTTCTTTTTTGCTGAAGAACACACTAAAAAAAGTGAAATTACTTCCTTTTTCCATAATCATCTTTCCTTTTTTTTTTATCGGCCTCCAAAATGTCTGACTATTCTAGAAAATATGGCGATGGAGGGAATGGATAGAAATAAAATAGATTTAATTGAATCTAAACCAACTCAGGAAACTTTCAAACGGTTGAGGGAGCTGAAGCCGGGGGGGGGGGGTGTAGAATCCTGATTATTTCCCTGACATTAAAGGCTGATTAAAAAAATATATGCTAGGAGAGTAAAAATCAACCCTAAAATCCTCACCTCAAGGATTTCCTCAGGAGGCTGAAGAAAAATGCTATTTTTTTCACCCCTCAAAAGAAAAAAGGAAGAAATGGAGTTAACCTGAAGGGAGTAATGTGAGGAAAGGAGGGAGAGAGGAATAAAAGTGCATATAAGAATTCCAGCCTTTCTCTCTCTCTCTCTTAATAAAACTGTCCAAAATGGTGGAAAATGACGCCATCATGGCAGCCTCTTTGTTCCTCCTAAAGGGTGGAAGAAGTGCTATAATCATGTAAACTTAAAAGGGCCCTTTCTTCCAAATTATCTTATTTATCTACACTGTCTGTCTGTCATCTCTCTCTATATATAGAGAGATATATATGAAGATATATATATAAAGATATATATATATATATATATAAAGATATATATCTTTCTATCTTCTCTTATCTCTTGTCTATATTTATGTATTTATATTTATCTCTATTTCTATCTCTTATGTATCTATCATATTTATTTATTTATCTTCATTTCTATCTTTATTTATATCTATTTATCTATCTTATCTCTTGTCTATGTATCTATCTACCGGTATGTTTATTTCTTTCTACATCTTATGTATCTATCTAATTTATTTATCTCTCTATCTTTATCTATATCTACCATCTATTATCTCTTGTCTATCTTTATGTATCTATATCTCTTTCTAATTTTATGTATCCATCCATATTTATTTATTTATCCCTATCTATCATCCATCTTATCTCTTGTCTGTATGTATCTCTGTTTATCTCTATTTCTATATCTTATGTATCTATCCATATTTATTTATCTATCTATATCTCTAATTTTATTCATTCTATCATCTCTCTCTCTCTCTCTTTATCTATCTGTCATCTGTCTAATCTGTCTGTCTTTGTAATTAGATTTATACAACCACCCAATTAAAAAACTATTCCACACAGCTTTACAAATCTAATGAAATAATGGCTCCTAAATATGTCTGCCATTTTTAGAAGTCCATTCAGATACCACATAAATTGCATACAACGGCTTGGAGCAAAACCTTGCAATTTATGGTCAACATGCCTTTACTGTTAGCAGAAAATGTGAGATGTCAGCCTGGGTGCAGCTGACACAGGTGTGCCAGTCTCCGCCTTCCTAAAGGTATCTTATGGCTATGTACCTTAAAGATCAAATTCACAGCAAATAGCCAAAAATGCAAAACAACCAAAACAACAAAATAAGCAGCTCCGTTTGCAAAATTCAGGAGGAGCTGTTCCTGAATTGATAACTGCCAAGTTCCCCATCCAGTTTCTGTGTAGGCCGGGAGGCCAATGCATTGTTCTTATGAAAAGGTAAAGAATAAAAGTGCTTTGGCGTGCTAAAATGCGGATAGGAGGTTCACAATTGTCACAGCTTAACAAAAGAACAGCTTGGACTGCAAAGCATACACCAGACAGGAAATAGGCCACAGGGGAAAAAACAACGGAGCAAGAACATGGAGACCTTCGAACAAGGGTAAATCCAGAAGAGAATTAATTCCTCAGGGCTCGTCTGACAGTCCTCACCTAAGGCAGAGTTTTGCCCTTCCCATAAGATTGCAAACTATGTTAGAGAATCATGTCTGGTTGGGTTTATCCCGGGGTTGAGAATATTTGGGGTGCTGGTCACCTTTATAATTTTGCAAAAACGGGGAAGGGGGTATAAACACAGTTTCTGGAGAAGATTTTGGTGGTCCACCCTGTAAGCAGCTTGGATGAAACCCAAAGACGTATCTCCTAAAATAGGTTTCTGGGTATGCATCCTCCTCCTTCAGGCGTTGTATCAGAGCAGTTGTCAAAACTTTATGAGACATCATACAGCCCTCCTAGTCAAGATAATACTTGGGAGCTAAATATCTTTAAAAGGTCTGGGGAAGCTTGCTTTTTTGCAGACATTTCATTATCCAAACTAGGTTATCATAAGGGCTGCTAAGGAGTGAGGTTTGCTCTCAGTTTATTACATTACCAGCACTGATGATGTTACCTAGTTGGGTAATGAAACGTCTGCAAGAAAACAACCAGGCTTAGAGCTCTCTAAGGATCCTTCCTGTCAACCCTGAGCTACAAATATTCTCCTTTATAGAGTTAAGGAAGGCCTCCATGCTTTAGGCCAAGGTGAACCTTTAACTAGATATTATTTGCACAAGCATCCAGAGAAGCTACAGTCCTCAACTTATAACCAATCATTGAGTGACTGTCCAAAGTTACAAAGTGAATTCAGGTGCTTGGCTACAGTGTGTATTTATAACAATTGCAGCACCCCAGGAGGATGCACCATTTGCAGGCTTCCCAGCCAGCTTCCCACAAGCCAAGTCAAGGGGGGGGGGGATTCTCTTAAGCACCAGGTGATTCACTTAATGGCAAGATTTGCTTAACAACAGTTGCAAAAAACGTCAGATCATCCGGCACGACTCATGTAAGAACTTCTTTGGTCCCAATTGTGGTTAGAAGTGGAGGACTACCTGATCCAGGGAAGCCCAGGGGAAAATGGGACACGCCATTTCCACATCCTCTCCCTCACAATAGTCTGGCACAAACCTCAACTCAGCTCGTTTCATCTTGGGAGAAACCTGCCTCACCCTCAACATTGCTAAACCAAAAACAATTACAAATGAGTTAGAACGTGCCTTTCCCAGTTTCATCACAAGCAATTTTCCTGCTCTGTGCGTGTGTGTGTATCTGTCTGTCTGTCTGTATCTATCTGTGCACAAAATGAGACAGAAGACAAAATCAGACTGAAAAGTTGCATGCACAAAATCAGACGGAGAAGTTGCATGCTTGCCAGAATATAGAATTAGAAATTTGAAGACTCTTCTATCAAATGCCTTATGATGTGCACCTGGAAATAAATATTATTTTGCCAGCGTACAGAATATGTTTTATCTAATTAAAATTTAATGTGCTTCTCTAAGGCCATCTCTTACAGCCCTTGCTTAAAATCGATATTCAGAATAGCAGCAATTGCAGACTTTTCCTGCTGTGCGTTTTGGGTGCAGCTACACAGAGGGGATGCAAAATCGCAGCGAAGGACACCACAAAGTCAAGAGTCTGCATCAGTATATTTATTGTCCTTCAAAGCTCCCATATGCAACAACTCTTTGGAAAGATAGTTTTGTCCATTTAACAGAAGTTCATGAACACAATTAGGATATAAGCCTCGTAGCCCTGTTTTCAATAAAAGCAAGTTTTTCAGCTGTTGGCACAGATGAACAAAGATACTTACCCTCATTACAGAATTTGCCCTGAGTACATTGAAATATATTTTTTTCTCCAAGGGAAGTACCAGACATACCTTCCATTGTGTTATATCATTAAATCCTGGGTTATACTCGCTAATGGATTTTATCTCAAGGCTTAATAAGCAATTGCCCTGGACATCCCCCATCCATTCTCTATAAGATAAAAAAACAAACCAGAGTCTTGGTTGAACCCACAGTTTATTTCTTATTTATTTCTCCCTCTGGCTTCCCATTTTTTCAGTCAAATACAGATCGATTAGAACAGGAGTTTCCAATCCCTGGGCCTCGGCCCACTAATGTTCGAAGCCAGGCCGCATGAGCAACGGACAAGCGTGTGCAAAGCTCCACTCCAGGAATGGCAGACAAGTGCGCACACGTGAATAACCGAGGGCACTTGAACAGAAGGTGTTTTTACTCGTGTGTGTAGCTCCATTGGCAGAAGTGGAGTTTCACGCGCAAACACAAGCACCCTCCACTCAAACACGAAGCTCCATTTGACACTACTCGCAGCAACGAGCTGTGTGCATGCACACACACACCTGCCACTCTCTCACACACACTCACAAACGCCTCGCACTGCGCCAGGCCACCAAGCTGCAAAAGTCAGACACCTCTAGATTAGAAACCCTGTCTTCTTTTCCCTGATCAATAAGCTTAGGCATCTTAAACATCCGTCTAAGACTAACTGCACCAAAAGATTGTTTTCAAGTTCCGTCGCAGCAGCGAAATTCAAAAAAAAAATGAAACAAACCCATCATAAATACAGAGAATACTACAGAATGAGAACATGCCAGTTGGTGGTATTGTAGTGGTTTGGCCCGGTTTGGGTGGGTGGACCGGTAGTAAAAAATGCTACCATTCGGCCGAACTGGTAGTAAAAAAAGAGTGACTGTTTCGGCCGAAGCAATGTTTTTTTTCCGTTTTTTCCTCTCGATGATCAGCTGTTCTGATGATCAGCTATGCCGGGATCCCCTCACTGTCTTATTGCTTTGCCCAGGAGGCAAAAAGGGACGTGCAGGTATGTGTGTCTGTGTGTGTGTGTGTTGTGTACTCCTCAGCCCCCCCCCTGCTCAATTTTTTGCCTCCGGAGGCTGCCCTGAGGCCCAGGAGGAGCACGTGGGGGGCAGGGGGGGGGGGTTGCTGCAAAAAAGAAGCCACTCCCACCTAGCCATGCCCACAGAACTGGTGGTAAAAATATTTGCATCCCACCCCTGAAACACTCTAGAAATAAAAAGAATGCTACAGAATGAAATGCAGGCCGTCCTCGACATACAACATTTAGGGACCATTCGAAGTAGCAACGGGATTGGGGGAAAAAGTGACTTATGACCGTTTTTCAGACTCTAGAGACTTTGTGGTCACGTGATCCACATTTAGATGCTTGGGGACTGATTCATATTTATGACGGTTGCGGTGTCCTAGGGTCACGTGATCTCCTTCTGTGTCCTTCTGACAAGCACAGTCAACAGGGGAAGCCATTCACTTAACAACTGGTCATTCCCTTGAGAACCACGGTGGCCAGCAAAGTCGTAAAATGGGGCAAAGCTCACTTTAAAAAATGTTTCACTGAAGAGCAGAAAACCTGGGGATCAGTTGCGGTTGTAAGTCGAGGACTACCTGTACTCAAAAATCTCAATGACGGCCAGCAAAGGACTAGCCGTCCGTCTTTTCCACGAAAAGCAGTTGAAGATTTAGGGCGCTGCCCCAAAATAAGCATTTTCCCCCTGAGGTAGAAACAGTGTCAAGATGGAGAGGTAGATGCAACCAATTGAGGAATGTGTGTTTGTGTGCATAATTGTATGTGTGTATGTTAGAGAGAGACTGGACCTAGCCAAGAGGAGGAGTCAAGCAAGGAATTGTCTGGAATCCCTACATGGACACAAGTAGGCGAAGTCTAACCCTCCCATTGAATGCCATTGAACCTTATCTAACCATGGGTAAGTCTGAAATGATTCCCATTCACATGACAGTATAGATGTGAGTGTACACACACACATCCACACACAGAGACACACACAGACACACAGATGCTATTTATGAAGGCACTAACTTTTGTTGCTTTTGCACCTGGTCACAGGCTGCTAAAATACCGGATTTAAGTAAGACATCATTCACTTTTGGGATCAAAGTTTTGTTGTATCTCCAGAAGATTGGGTCTCGAATCAAATCTCTATCGTGCACATCCTTACGTTCGAGGATCCTGCAGTGGAAGTTAAAGGCGAGGTCACTGAGGACCTGGATGGAGGTTCCGTGCTGCTTGAGAACGGAATGGACCGAGGTCTGAATGACTCTGGTTGGATCCAGAATCATTTTCATGTTGTTGAAACTGTGAATGTCGTTGGGTTCCTTGTGGATATGTTCAAAGACGTTAAATCCCGGCACCGCTGCCCAGGACGAAAAGTTGAAAGGAGTCTCGGAGAACACAGTCCGACGGAAGACCTGGTTTTCAAAGAGGAAAACCCCAATTCCCGGATGTTCCTTTTCCAATCTGTCCATCAGGGACTTCCAGTCTTTATCGTTCACGGGAAGAATAAACTCATCGGGGTCAATCAGCAAGAGATATTTGCTTTTAAACATGTTGTGGTAAATGCAGTCGTTCAAGGCCGCGATTTGCCCATAGTAGCCTAAATCTTTCCTTTCCATGGAGTAATGCCAGTGGGTCGAGACGTTCAGGTACAAATCGATGGGCCAAGGTATGATTTCCACGATGCCTTGGGAGATATAATAATCTAGGACTTTCTCCATGAGGGGGCTACAACTGTTCTTGTATATTGTCACCTTTTGGACCCCCAGAAGTCTGTACAGCTCCATGGACTGTACAAACTGCAAGACGTTATCATATTTCCCAAACATGGTAGACATGCAGATCGTGAAGTCTAAAGGGGGCTTCTCTGGGAAGAGGTTTCGGATGGGAAATAGAGCCAGCTGGGTCGATTCCAGCTGGGGATTCCAGGGATGGACAGAGATGAAGTGAGCTTCGCAGTCTTCTGGCTGAAGACAAAGCAGATCGGCCGTGCCGTACGGGAAGTCGAAGCGGTCTACGTGGAAATCAATTTCTCCTTGTACGACTTGAATTCCCTGGCTGTTCTCACAGCAAAAGATGCAGTAAAGCTCCTTGACTTTTTGATGGTGGATTATGCTCAGGACGCGGACGAGATTTCCCTGTCGCCTGTCAGAATAAGGGGTGATGATGAAGCTGTGTCTATCCGGGAGAGGAGTGATTGTGCCGTTGACGAGCTGGCCTTTGCAAAAATCACCGGGACGTATCTTTTGCTTAGCACTGGGATAAATCTTTTGCTTAGCATCTTCATTCCAAGGACCCCAGTCCCTGCTCTTCTTCCAATAATGCAACACAAGGCACAATGTAAGGATGAAAAGAAATCCACAAATTCGAGGGAGCAAGCTCTTTTTTCTCCCACAGATTGACATTTCCTGAAGCTACTGTGGTTCTTTGTTCAGTATTTCATTTCATTTGGCCTAAGAAGGAGGAGGAGGAGGAGGAGGAGGAGGAGGAGGAAGAGAGAGAAGGGATGAGATGCCACCATTGCTACTGCTCATTTTTGCAAGACAAATCCTAATGTTTTGGGGAAGGCTTTCAGTTCTTTTTCCTGTTTTGACCACCTGGAGAGGAAACTAGGGATACTTTGAGGCGTGGGATCATCTTTCTCTCATCTAGGTATTTGGCGCATTCCAACTTCTGGAGGCAAGCCGCTACACGGATTAATTGATCTGGTGTTATAGGATAACAGAATAACCGAACTGGAAGGGGCCTTGGAGGCCTTCTAGTCCAGCCCCCTGCTCAGGCAGGAGACCCTATACTATTTCAGACAAGGGGCTGTCCAGTCTCTTCTTGAAAGCCTCCAGTGTTGGAGCAGCCACAGCCTCTGGAGGGAAGCCATTCCACTCATTCACCATTCTCACTGCTAAGAAGTTTCTCCTTATTTCCTAGGTTCGATCCCTCCGTTGCTTTGGAGAATAGCTTGAGCCCCTCCTCTTCTTTGGGGCAGCCCCTCCAATATTGCACGCTGCTCCCCTGTCCCTCCTAATCCTCCTTTTCTCTAGACTAGACATTATTCCAAAGTACATTTCCTTAACTTTTCTCTGTCCCTTACACCCAAAGAAGAGAGCCACATCAACTTACCCCAAAGGCCAACCGGTACCTTATTTAGAGTAACCGCACCTGACTCATCCAACACAACCGGTGTGCTTAAGTGTGTCCAAAACGCCGCAAGACCCAACCCACAATGAGCCCAGCACTTTCTCCGCTGTATCTTCTTTTTCTTCCCTTGTTGACATTTCTTTGTTCTCCATGGCTCTTAAAACGGTTTGCCCAAATGGGAATCCTTTTCGTGCCAGACGAAACACTGATGGTACTTATTTTAACTATTTTTACAGTCTGCAAAAACATCCACAGCCCTGGGCAAGCTTGCAAACGGGCAGAGAAGCTAGCAAAATACACAACCGCTCTTGCTAAGGGTGTTTCTGCTCAGCAGGTTTCAACCTCTGCCTCTGCTCTCTGTCATCTTTTTGTTAGGATGCATTTAGCACTTGCGGGAACAAATGTGCTGATCCCAGAGGAGAGGACTAGAAAAACAGCTTCCACACTGCCAAGAAAACAGTGCAGCTTTGTTGCTCGATGAGATTTCTCATGGTTGATTTCAAAGGATTGATTTCAAACGATTGGTTTCAAAATGAGCGGTAGAACAGAATAACAGAGTTGGAAGGATTCTAGTCTAGTATTTGCCATACACTACATAAATACACGATTTTAAAAAACCTCCAGTGGTGGAGCATCCGCAACTGGAGACAAGCCATTCCAATGATTAATTGTTCTAATGGCAGGATATTTCTCTGGCTCCATTTTCCCTCTGTCTGCAAACCCACCCAGATTACACCAGCCGTTTTTCCAAGCTGCCTCTTCCTCCATGCCATCCAGTGGTGCATTAACTTAATTAAGCAGACTAAGCACGTACTTAGGGCACCAGGCCCCAAAGGGGGCACCTCAAAAACTTTCAGGTAGCCTAAGTTTGGTTTCATTTGTACAGTATGTACAAAGGTGGGGGGCACCAAGATTTGTCAGTGCTTAATGCACCAGTGAGCCAGAGGTGGGCATTCAGCCGGTTCTGACCAGTTCTGGAGAACTGGCAGCGGAAGCTTTGAGTAGTTTGGAGAACCAGCCAATCCCACCTCCGACTGGCCCCGCCAACCCCATCTCTTCTCCGCCTCCCATTGAGTCCCAGCTGATCGGCGGGGTCTTCTTTGGTTGCCCTGCACAGGAGAACAGAGCTGGAAAGCAGGTCGGTGGGGTGGGGAGGGAAGGGGGATTTTGCAGTATCCTTCCCCTGCCACGCCCACCAAGCCACGCCCACAGAACCTGTAGTAACAACGTTTGAATCCCATCGCTGCCTTAATCAGCCACTGATGCCATCACAACCCTAACATGTTTACAGTGGAAAATGGGAGATACAATCAAACACGCCTAGAGGCACATTGGTTGGGACGTGTTGAGACACGATAAAGAAGATTCTTGCCAGCTCAAAGATTAATCTTCTCCCCACTTCTGAATCCAAGCCTGAACAAGCCCATTGCACGATCTCGCAATAGCACATGTGCTGAAAGAAAAGGCAGATTTTTAAGCCGTTTAAGAGGCCCCACAAAGCCAGTCTACAGAAAAGAAGGACTAGCAGCCTTCCAGTGTTTGAGGGGCTGCCCCAAAGAGGAGAGAGGTATAACTTATTTTCCAAAGCACCAAAAGGCAAGGCAAGAAATGACTGAGCGGGACAAATGAAGGCAAGAAGCCACCTGGACTTAAGGGGAAACTTCCTAATCAGTGGAACAGCTTGCCACCAGAAATTGTGGGTACTCCAGTTTTTAAGAGAAGATTGGACAGCCATTTGTCTGAAATGGTATAGGGTCTCCGGCCTGAGTCGGGGGAGGGGTTGGACTAGAAGACCTCTGAGGCCCCATCTATTCTGATTGATTGAAGACACAGGCACCCCTCAAACCTTACCCTAGTTGAACTAACTAACCTTTCTCCTCTCTCCACCCCAAGCAATCACTCACTATCAATTATGTGGACATCGAGATGATTTCAATCTTCTGCCACTTCTCCAACGCCTCCAGCCGAAAGTAGATCCCAACATGCGTCAGTCTGAAATGAGAAATGTTAATTATATGTGTCATTAATGATATGTTTAAGTGTGGGGAAGGTGTTGCTTGGTTATTTATCTTTTCAAGTTTTTATTTTTATAGCATATAAAAATTCCAATTTCAATTGAACAGTGTGTTGTCTGGGTACAAATATTTTTAGGATATAATAATCAAAATGTTTACAACAATATTCACTACATTGATGTTAATTACAGTAACAACAACAATAATAATAACTTAACCAATTCAACATGCCTTTCTTATATCACTGATCATATCCATCCATTGCCCCATCTCTCCTGTTTTTTTCCAGCTAGCCATTGGTAAAGTAAGTCCCAAGTCAGAAAGTATTCAGTTTCCTTCTTTTCCTTGATTTGAAACCAGAGATACTTTTGTTGGGCATTTTGCCGGTTCAATATAATAAAGGGAACGCATATTTGATTTTACATAAACTGACTGCAGCTAGAATTGTATTGGTGCCACAATGGAAATGTAAAGAGATCCCAACATATGAAAATGTGACTCAAGAAACGTTAGAATGTGCAGAAATGGACAGGTTAACACTTATAATCAAAGAAAAGAAGGGAAGGTGTTTGCTTTTTTTCTTTCACCGCCCTCCCTTCTTCCTCTTTAATAATTGTTGAAGGGAAGAGAGAGAAAGTGGCACAAGGGGTTACGGAGTAACCCATCCCTAACCGATTTAACAGTTAAGAGAGTTAATCGGTTAACAGTTAACAGTTAACTGTGAGATGCTCTCCTCTCTCACCTACTTGTTATTAATTTATTGTCCTTAAAACTTGGGGATCTCACCAATCTTTCGCTGGGGAAGGGAAAGGGACCTCGATCTCAGAATAACAAAGAGTTGGAAGGACCTTGGAGGTCTTCTAGTCCAGCCCCTATTTTCAGACCAATCTCTTCTTCAGTGATGGAACACCTACAACTTCCACATGTAAGCTGTCCCCCTGATCAATTGTTCTTGCTGTCAGGAAATTTCTCCTTAATTCTAGGTCAGGTTCTTAATTACTTTCGACAGCTCTGTTTAGATCTCTGTCTTCAAGTTGTATTGAAGGCAACTCCCAACAGGCAGGACTTTTACTACGTTAAGCAATAAGCAAAGGGTGCTTTTTCTTTCAGAGCAGAATGGAGCGTCTTCCTACCACCAACCTGTCGTTAAGTTAAGACGGTGGAAGAGCCAGCCGCAACCATTTCATAGTGTCTTCCAACTACAAGAGTTGGAAGACACCTTGGCCAATTTTGCTCAGAGATCCTCGCTCCCTGCCCCATCTCCGCTTCCAGCCCCCATCACCACAGCTTGCTGGCAAACCCACCTACTCACCTCACTCCAAGAACTGGCAGCCTTCTTATCTTCGGTGGGTCTGAGGCTGCTCCAGCCTCTCTCGCAACAGGAAGGAGTGAGTCAGCTGCATCTTCTGCTTCTGAAGTTCTGTTCTTTCCTCATCCTGTTTCAGAGGCACTGGAGAAAAATTTGAATTTCCCTGGGCTCCTAGCAAAGGAAAACAGGACCTCCAGCCCCACTGACAAGCGAGTTTCAGGTTTTTTCATGCTTTCGCTCTAGCTAGCTGGTGGGAGGGAACTATCCCTGTTAGATGAAGGGGAGGTGTAAGGCAGGGTTGGCTTTGGCTTGCTCCTTTTTTGCTTGCTCTTTTTTAGCCTGACATGTACGTGTGTGTGTGTGTGTGTGTGTCTGTGTCTCTGTGTTTGTCTATGTGTCTTTGATTAGGGGTTGGAAGATATGGCTAGATGGTCTGGGACACAGCAATAAATAAATAAATAAATGAATAAATAAGTAAATGAATAAATGAATAAACAAACAAACAAACAATAAATGCTCTGTCATATTGGCAAAAAAAATCAGAAAATAAAATACAGGCTGAATAGTCAAGACCTTGTTGATGACCCAATCTCTGTAAAGGACCTTGGAATACTCACCTCTAATGATCTAAGTGCTAGAGCCCACTGCAACTACATAGCCAAAAAGGCATTAAGAGTTGTTAACCTAATCCTACGTAGCTTTTTCTCTGGTAATATTACACTACTAACTAGAGCATACAAAACATTTGCTAGACCAATACTCGAATACAGTTCATCAGTCTGGAACCCACATTGTGTATCTGATA